GTCACTTGAGTCAAAGTTAGATTTTCAGTCTGTCTTCCCTCCACAGTTATTACTCCAGATTAAAGAGATTTAGAATAGATTTTCCCCTGAACCTCCTGGACCACCTCATCTCCACTGCCTCATAAATCCATCCCCAAGTCTCTACCACACCTACCCAAGGGGCACTATCGCCCTCCAGCCCCCTGTCCCAGAGAAGAGGTCACGGACACTGGAGGCAGATAATCTGGCGTGATGTGCGGTCACACCCAACGTGGCCTGCTGCTTCCATCATCGTTCATCTTTATGCACCCCAGATCTCATCCACAGGAGCAAAGTAGCTTGAGATTGGATTGTCGTGTGTTTGTGTGTGTGTGTGTGTGTGTGTGTGTGTGTGTGTGTGTGTGTGTGTTTTGAAAAGTGGTGAGAGAGGTGAAGGGGAATGTACTGTAGATCTGCTGGATAAGATGAGGTCCTTGAAAACTTTTTATGGGGTTTATGATGGATGAGACCTTGGGAGTTGAAGAGTTATCAGTAGTGGCTCTTGGGAGAGAGTTTGTCTATTATAATCTAGTGTGTGTGTGTGTGTGTGTGTGTGTGTGTGTGTGTGGGCTATTGCATGTGTGTATGTAGTGGCAATGAGCACTGCCAAGTGTTCAAGCAGAGAATACTTAAATGCAATAATACGTATTCTGCCATTCAGGCTACAGGGCTTGTTCAGGTAAAACAAATCCTGTCAAAAAATTGCGACAGTTTTCTATATCTTCTGCAAAAAACAAGCTGTCTATTTTTGACTCGCTGTGTGCATGTGTGTTTGTCCAGCGTCCTGACTCCACGGAGCACATCCAGGAGTATTACCGGCAGCGTCTCCGTGTGCAGCAGCATCTGGAGCAGAAGCAGCAGCAGAGACAGCTTTACCAGCAGATGCTGCTGGAGGGAGGGGTGAAGCCGCAGGACGGAGCCCAAAACAACCTCACCGAGACCTTCCTCAGTAGGTGAGCTAGTCCTATTCAAATATTGAACATCAAGGATTAAATGAAGAGAGCACAACCTCAGTGCTACCTTTATTGAGACATAGAGATCTTGTTTTTGTCCAGATCCATTCAGAAGTTGGAGGAGATGAATGTGGGCATAGACCACAGAGGAGATGAGGTGATGACACAGTGGAACGGACTGACAGGGAGCACCAGCACATCCAGTCCCACAACCACCAACACCTCCCACACCCCAGACACTGGGCTGCCAAGGGAAGAGCCAGGAGGAGGGGTCAGCAGCACCCCGGTAAGCACCGGGAGCCACGGCTTGCCTTCCCTCAGCGAGTCCCCAGTTCCTGCCGGTCAGAGGTAAGAGCCGGCCGAGCATGTGGTCAAGTCATTACCTCAACTCATGTGATTGGCTATAGTTGTGATAGGATTTCATGTCATTTGATGTTGACTAGTACTGACTCTTCAAACTCTTAAGCAAATGAATTTTACTGGTATGGAATGAATTTACCTTTCGTGTGTGTGTGTGTGTGTGTGTGTGTGTGTGTGTGTGTGTGTGTGTG